TTCTTAGCAATGCATATTACTAATCAAAAATTAAGTTTTGATATATTTACGGTAGGAAATTTACAAAATATCTTCATGGAACATGATCTTTACTTAATATCCGAATGATTTTTGGCATAAAAGAAAAATCAATAATTTTGACGCAAACAATGTATTTTTGGCTATTGCTACAAATATACCCCAGCGACTTAACACTGCTTTTGTGCTCCAGGGTCACATATCATATAAATATATGTATGATTATATATTATTATTATTATTATATATATAACATATGTATTATTTAATATTCTTTATAATGTATTATTTAAATTTATTTATAAATAAATATAATTATAAAATATAATAATAAGAATTAATTATAAATTAATAAGTAATAAATAAATAATTAATTATAAAATATATAATATAATAATTTAATAATGATAATTTCATATATATATATATATATACACACACACACAATTTATTATTTAAAAAATACAATATATATTATATTTTATTATTAAAAGAAAATTTATATATATAATATTTATTATTATTACTATTTAAGCAAAATACAATTTAGTTTTTCTTTCTTAAGATTTTGGGTCAATAGGCAAATGTCTAACTGCAGCAATCTAAATCTAAACATTTTAATAATATCAAATGAACAGGTTTGCATGGGTGAACAGAAGCGTGCTATGAGGACAGATTCCTGTGGCTGTAGTTCTGTACATTCTAGACCGTCTCTCTCTGGCACGTTACATGAGGTGGTTTTGGCAGAGAGTCTCCTAACAGATGCCAAGAACTGAAGAATGTGAACCATGCTGAGGCGACACTTCAGTTAGACATTAACCATCAAGTGCTAATGGAGGACAGAGGATTTCACACAGGCTCTTAAAAGCAATATGAACACGACATATACTCAAACATATGGGGCCTTTGTTATGAAATACAAAATATGATGCAATGTGCAACCTCAGAGGTCAGCATCTATTCTTTATGCTGCCATCCATTCATACTTAAGGGGTCGCTTTGCTTGAAAACTGTTCATCCTGTCAATGGTCCATCACGATCTTTCCTTTTTTGGACGGCCAGGTGCAGTTGCACAGGGACTTTGACAGTAAACCGAGGCTGAAAGCTTTCGTGGTGATCTGCACTGTCACAATGTTCCCTGTGTTGCGTGAATTTGCACACCAGCTACAAACCTAAAAGCAGCAACTTTTGCTCAAACAAGCACATTGTCTTCAGAAAATGTAAAAATCTAAGTCTAAAGTGTAGTTTAACAAGGCATGTTGCCATATTACAATCTGCTGAATTGAGTGTTCAATAAATGAAGCCCACTGGCCAAACGAACAGCTGACGGACATTCAGATCTAATGCAGGCAGCACAGCCAAAGTACAGCCCTATTCCTGTAAAAATGAGACGCGTACAGTGGGGTCCAAAAGTCTGAGACCACACTGACAATCAAAGTCTAAATTCAGTGTGGGAATAAACAGTTTTAGGGTTGAAAACAACAAATGAATATTATGGCATAAAGCGAAGAAGAATTGTTTCATACTCTGCATTATTTCTAAATGACAATTCAGATGTGAGTGAATTAGTGTCGCTGATTATGTGACTCGTTCAATCTGAGATTGTTTGCTTATATTAAAGCACAAGAAGCTTTTTGGAGTAAATAATGCTATTGTTAAAAAAAAGGTTTTGTAAAAAAGGTTTCTTTTTTCCCCCAAACAGTACCATTTTAGTATTCCTTATATACTATTATAGCACTTATTAATATTTTGAATTATTATTGAATTCATATTGAAATATTTTTGAATTTTGTTTTGCACTTTTGTCATTTTTATTAGTTTTTGTTTTTTTTATATTTCTATTTGTTTAATATCATTATACATAGTGATAATATATATAATATTACTATTAATATTAGTAATATTATATAAAAGTAAAATGACTATAAAAGTCATTTTAGTACGTAATCTAATTTATTTCATATTTGCTAATGCAACATTTTCATTTGAGGTTTTTAAGTGCAAGCTATTCATCTAATATTTGTTTTATTTGATTTCAGATTTATTTTGATTAATGAAAACAGTTCTTGATAGTTTTAGTTAACAATAACAACACTGCATTCAACTTTTCACTCAAATTGCTGATAATATCATTTGTCCTGACGTATTAAATGCAAAATAGAAGGATTTTCACAGTCGGTTTCAGACTTTTTGGAATTGCAAAATCATTTGAAAAACAGATTAAATAGTGTTTTTATGTGCCTAATGTGTTTGATAAAGCATGTTCAAAAGGCCAGCACACTGTATTGCATACTGAAGTCCATGAATCCATTATTTCCTAATGGTTTAATATTGATCAATCTTTTCTGCAGGGAGGGAAACTCACCTAATCATCACCAGGCCATCACCTACAACCAGCTGTTGAGAAACGTGTGCCGATGTGCCAATGCATTGAAGCTGTTGGGTAAGACCATCCTCCTCCTCTGGGTTTGAGTTTGCTCAGATTTTCTGGAATGCAAATGCAATATTAGTGGGTTCATCCTGAACCTCTGACATCCATGTGTGAGTATTTTCATTAATGCTTTCAGATTTACAACAATATTTCTTTCTGTGATCCAGGTGTGAAGAAAGGAGACAGAGTGGCCATCTACTTACCCATGATTCCAGAGCTGGTGTATACCATGCTGGCCTGTGCACTTGTTTCATACAAACACGCAGCTTTCCACATCACAACACATTAACTGATGGACTGGAGTGGTGTGGATTACTTGTGGATTATTGTGATGTTTTTATCAGCTGTTTGGACTCTCGTTCTGACGGCACCCATTCACTGCAGAGGATCCATTGCTGAGCAAGTGATGGAATGCTACATTTCTCCAAATATGTTCTAATGAAGAAACAAACTAATCTACATCTTGGATGGACTGAGGGTGAGTACATTTTCAGCAAATGTTCAGTTTTGGGTGACCTTTTTTTTAAGCTCGATCATCTGTTGAGGATGATCAGATGGAGAGTTTAAACTCGGGTCAGTATTTAGCACGGTATCATTAATATGCATGAAATGAGTGTAGCCTCATTTACACTGCTAGGACTATTTCTGCCCGCCAAGCCTCTTTAGCCATGTAAAGGTTGCAGACAGAGTTAAAAATAGCACTGAAGTGCTTTCAAGGGTACTTTATATCTGATATCAAAGCCTATTTTTATGTTTGTGTGATGACCCCATTTCAGCCAGACTGTTATTCTGATCATTTGTTTTGGAACCTCAGATATCCTTATTATTTATCTTGATAAATAAAGATGAAAGCAGATGCAGAAGCAGAAGCATCTAACTCGCTCCCGTCTTCCTCATTCAGTTTGCCGGTTTCTCGTCTGAGTCTCTGTGCGAGAGGATCATGGATGCTCAGTGCAACATCCTGGTAACAGCAGGTAACATTAAATGTTTTATTGAGGAGGAGGTCTGGATCTGTTTGTTCAGACTGACTGTATGTTTATAGGGTTGATTTTGTTTAGTAGATGAGCTCACAATGAGAATGATGAAATACAGTACGTGATAACCAGAGATAATGTGACGAGAGATGTGTAGTCGCACTTTTGACTGTCAGCGAAGTCTGAATCACATTTTGATCAGCTGATCACAGTTGAAACTCAAATGGCTTTGTGTGCCATTGAGAAGGTGATTAGCTACATTTGATTGAATTTACAAGCCATTTTGGGGGGGGGGGGGGGGGGGGCTGTGATACTAAAGACTGATAAAATCCTGTGCATCATCCTACAGCCTATCTTTCTCTTCCTATCTCATGTGTTTGCTCTTTCTTTCTTTCTCTCTCTCTCTCTCTTGGCATATATGTGTCCTACAGATGGTGTTTACAGAGGTGACAAGCTGATCAATCTAAAGAAGATTGTGTCTGAAGCTCTGGAGCGCTGTAAGGAGAGGTACGTCCCTGTCTGCTGCTCTCCGCTATCAGAGGAACCTCTGTTTACATCAGCCTCTCACCCAACTATTATACACACACACAGCGGAGCACTCACCCAATCAGAGACGGCCAGGGGTTGCCAGGCAACAGCACAGTTTGGAACCCTTGGCTTCATGTCACCATGGCAGCGTGTGAAATGAGACATGCATCATAGAGCAAACAGAAAGCATGTAGCATGGGTGTGGATCGTGTAGCGTGTGACTGAATGATGATGTTGTTGATTTGGCACATAATCATTTATGATTATTGATGGTGTCACTCAATAAACGACATAATACCATGACGAGAACAAGTATGCAAACATAACTATTATTATTCATACTTACTCATATGAGCTTAGAAATGTGCAAAAACCTCTAAAAACACCTTAGCAACCACATAGTAATGCCCTAGCAACCACCCACAGCACGTTAGAATCAGAGGTGGATTTAATGCTTTGGGGGCCCCAGGCAAAATACAGGAATTGGGCCCCATACAATTTCACACATTTACAACCTTGAGGTTCCTTTCACTGTTGTGATGCTCGCTGCTGCACGACTGTGTGCCATAGTTGTGGTAAATGTTTTATATTTTTCATGTACATGTTATAAATAATGGATTTCTTTCATGTTGTAGACTCCTTGTTCACATTTAAACAGGTTATAATAGTATAAGAGCAGGTTGGACACTAGGTGGGGTAATTTTTACTAAGCAATTGCCTACACAATGTAAGGCCTCCTAATTCTAAACTTTAAAATACATTTATTTTTTATTTATTTTAATTACAAATTTAAATTAAACTGAAGGAAATTATACATTTACATGTCTAAGGATTATTTAAATTAAACATGAAGTGTGCCTGTGTGGGTCCTTCACAGAAACGAGTGAGCGCCACTTAAAACAATAAACATATAATACGCACTGTTGCTTAGCATTAAATTATAGCTTCATATGCATGATATTTTCATTTGTAGGGCCATATGAAATCCGTTTTATTTTTCCCAAATTAGTATTTTTTTTTCTTCCGTTTACATTTTTCTGGATGCTTATATCAAATTTTATCGATTTTTTTATCAAAATCATGAAACTTGTTTAATTTTACAGCAGTTTATTAAAAGTTGAACAAAAATTACATCCTTAGGGCCCAAATTCTGTGCTTTTCATTTACATTTTTCTGTATTCCTTTTTAATGGTTTAATCAAAAACACAGTAAATTCCGTTTTTATGAATGGATTCCGGGATTTTGTCCCTGCATCGGAAATCATTGGGCCCTACATTTGCTACAAGAAGCACTTTCAACGCAAACGCACAGATGGTTGTCGTGGTAATGAACACCACAGCAACCACTCGTGCATCCATGCATCTCATAAATAAAAAGCATTTTAGGGGGCCCTTGGCTTTTGGGGACCCAAGGCCGTCTCCTACCTTTGCCTAATGGTTAAGTCCGCCTCTGCCTAGAATCATCACTGTCAATTTACACAACAATTTTTTATATAATTTTATGTACGTATTGTGATCTCTGTCTCCCTCAGCATGGCCTCGTGTGTTCAGAAGTGTGTGGTGGTCAAACATCATGCCTTCAGAACAAACAGTGATGCTTCCAACAAACTACAGGTTGGTCAAACAGTCGAGTTTTATGGACTGGACTTATTTGATGCTTTTCTAGCAGGAAAAATTACCATGCATTTTTGTTGAATGGAAAGTAAATAATGGCAATATGTCCCTATTAATTTAAAATTCTCTCATATCCTACTCTATAGAAAAATAATGACCAAACTATTGTCTTGTGTGTGTGTGTGTGTGTGTGTGTGTGTGTGTTCCAGACCCCATGGGATGAATCATGTGACATTTGGTGGGATGATCTGATGGACGGTGTGTCAGACGAGTGTGAACCGGAGTGGGTGGACTCAGAAGATCCTCTCTTCATACTTTACACCAGCGGCTCGACCGGAAAACCCAAGGCAAGGGACCTCTCACCTAGAATTTAAAATATAGAAGTATTACAGTATATACAGTACAGTACATGCATACACTACAGTGCAAAAGTTCAGCTCAGTATGATTTTTCTTTTTTTCTTTTTATTCAGCAAGGATGCATTAAATTGATCAAAAGTGACAGTAAAGACATTTATAATGTTATGAAAGATTTCTATTTCAAATAAACGCTGTTCTTTTGAACTTTCTATTCATCAAAGAATCCTGAAAAAAAATTTCACAAACATATTAATGCAGCCCAACTGTTTTCAACATTGATAATAATCAGAAATGTTTCTTAAGCAGCAAATCAGCATATTAGAATGATTTCTGAAGATCATGTGACACTGAAGACTGGAGTAATGATGCTGAAAATTACAGGAATAAATTAAATTGTAAAATATATTCAAATAAAAAAACTATTATTTAAAATTGTAATAATATTTCACAATTTTTACTGTATTTTTGATCAAATAAATGCTGCTAAATGTACTAAAAGTTACCTAGTAATGGTGTAAAACTGCAAAATAGCTAATTATATTTCCATCACCACTTGTTGAATTAATGTGACAACAATTTTAGTATGATATTGTTAAAAAAAAAAATTCAGCAGCACATACTATTTAAAAAAATGTGTAAATACAGTATATACTGCACAGTGTGCACTATGCAGTATGTGAGTATTCATTGATTTATTCCTTCATTTCTGTACAGGGGGTCGTTCACACAGTCACTGGCTACATGCTCTATACATCACTGACCTTCAAATATGTTTTTGATTATCACCATGACGACGTTTACTGGTGCACTGCAGACATTGGCTGGATAACAGGCCACTCCTACATCACGTACGGCCCGTTAGCCAACGGCGCCACCAGCGTGCTGGTAAGAAATATAATGCAGAATATTTACTTGCACAAACTGGTACATTTTGAACTTGTTCATGCAATATTCAGCATAGCTTTTACTGTAATTTTCAAAAATATAAAGTCAATTTGATCATTTACCACAAACAGTTTGAATGAGAGTGATTTGGTGTGTAGTTTGAAGGTGTGCCAGTGTATCCTCATGTGGGCAGACTGTGGGAGATCATTGAGAAGTACGCAGTCTCTAAGTTCTACACTGCACCTACTGCTATAAGACTGCTGATGAAATACGGGAAAGAACCACTGCAGCGGTGAGCGCGCACACACACACACACACACTCATAGGGACCAAAAAATGTCCCGACAAGGATTTTGGATATTGTCATCTTTGTGGACACGTTATAGACACTTTGTGTTTACGTTGTAGTTCCCATGTCATTATATACATTTGAGTCCTCATAATAAACCATATATACCATAACACATGGTATATATGGTTTACTAATTATTAGTACTACCTAACCCTAACCTTTTAGAAAGAAAAATAAATGTAAAAATCAGCATATTAGAATGATTTCTGAAGATCATGTGACACTGAAGACTGGAGTAATGATGCTGAAAATTACAGGAATAAATTAAATTGTAAAATATATTCAAATAAAAAAACTATTATTTAAAATTGTAATAATATTTCACAATTTTTACTGTATTTTTGATCAAATAAATGCTGCTAAATGTACTAAAAGTTACCTAGTAATGGTGTAAAACTGCAAAATAGCTAATTATATTTCCATCACCACTTGTTGAATTAATGTGACAACAATTTTAGTATGATATTGTTAAAAAAAAAAATTCAGCAGCACATACTATTTAAAAAAATGTGTAAATACAGTATATACTGCACAGTGTGCACTATGCAGTATGTGAGTATTCATTGATTTATTCCTTCATTTCTGTACAGGGGGTCGTTCACACAGTCACTGGCTACATGCTCTATACATCACTGACCTTCAAATATGTTTTTGATTATCACCATGACGACGTTTACTGGTGCACTGCAGACATTGGCTGGATAACAGGCCACTCCTACATCACGTACGGCCCGTTAGCCAACGGCGCCACCAGCGTGCTGGTAAGAAATATAATGCAGAATATTTACTTGCACAAACTGGTACATTTTGAACTTGTTCATGCAATATTCAGCATAGCTTTTACTGTAATTTTCAAAAATATAAAGTCAATTTGATCATTTACCACAAACAGTTTGAATGAGAGTGATTTGGTGTGTAGTTTGAAGGTGTGCCAGTGTATCCTCATGTGGGCAGACTGTGGGAGATCATTGAGAAGTACGCAGTCTCTAAGTTCTACACTGCACCTACTGCTATAAGACTGCTGATGAAAAATAGCATCATATGACCCCTTTAAATCTGTCTTGATGACACTGTTATAAATGGGGATGGATGACTCTGATATTTACGTGTCCTCTCTGTGCAGACGTGCCCATTTTTTGGAGTCCAGCCTGCCATTCTCAATGAACACGGAGAAGAATTAGAAGGCGAGGCAGAGGGATACCTGGTGAGATTTTCATCCCAGTTTTAGATCGGTTATAACAGGTTACATGGATTGTTATTGAAGTCAACATCGAATGATGTTCTCAACCCATTTTTATAACGTTTCATTCTTAAAGATCAAGCAGTGGTTCAGATATTCCAAACTGGAGCAGTTTATTCTGACTATAAACAGATGTTTTGGTCTCAGGTTTTCCGGAAACCCTGGCCAGGAATCATGAGGGGTGTGTACGGGAATCAGGAGCGATTCGAGAGCACCTACTTCAGAAAATTCCCAGGATTCTATGTGACAGGAGATGGTAATGTAGCAACACATCCATATCAGAACTAGTGTTGGTGAATGTTACATTTGAAAGTGGAAAGTTACATTATTGCAAAAGTGATTAATTATGATACATTGTTACTTTTTTATAGAATTTTGTGTTACATTCTCTTACGTCTGCAAATCCATATGGCCAAAATATACCGGTGTATATATATATTTTTTTTCTGGCCAAAATATATTTTAAATATATGCTAAATATATGTTGTAAACAGCCATGCTCAATGAAGTATATTTATGAAAAATAAATTTAAACTTTCATAGGCCAAAATATATTTCAAATTTTAAATATATGTTGTAAACAGCGATGCTCAATGAAGTATATTTATGAAAAATAAATAGGCTAAATAAATAAATTTAAACTTTCATAGGCCAAAATATATTTCAAAATGTATTCTAATCCTAGAGTGTTATATGTTCACATACACATCTATTTAAAAAAAAAATATATATATATATAAAAATAAGTTTTATGGGAAATTAAGCACTTTTTTCCCAAAAAAAGAAAAAAAAAAAAAATATATATATATATATATATATATATATATATGTTTGTATTCAGCATTAAATAAATTAAATAAATAGAAATATCACACAAGTTACTAAATTGGAAAAGTAATTGAGGTATTATGATGTAAATTCAAAAGGTAAGGTTGCTTTACATGTCTCTTCCAGAAAGCAATTAAATAAAAATCTCAAAAAAAAAAAAAAATCTAAATGTACAATTAAATTTTTTTTTGCTGTATGTGTAAAATTAAAAGTGTATTTGTCAGGAAATAAATAAGTCCGTTATTTGTTTGAAAAAGTAATTCATGTGTTTTGATGTAAATTCAAAAGGTAATGCGTTACTTTACAGCTTACATCCAAAAAGCAATCTGACCGAATAACAGGCAGTTACTTAATATGTATTCGTCATGTGTACATTACCAGTCTCCATGTGGCTGTTTCAGCAGAGTCACCAAACTTCAGCAGTTGATATTTACAGCATGAGCTGTTGCTGTATCGTATGGCAGGATGTGCGTTACTGTAACCGAGGGTCCTTCTGTCCTCAGGCTGCAGGCGGGACAAGGACGGATATTACTGGATCACCGGCCGGATCGATGACATGCTGAACGTCTCTGGTGAGACTCTCAGACTGTGTTTCAGTGCTGCCACCTGGCAGTTAGAGACGACACATTACTTTTCCTAATTCCTTCTCGGCATTTGAGAAGCAACTGTATGTTTGTTTTTTACCCTGAAATATCAGTTTTAAAATCATTCTGATGGGTACACTGACTTCTAATAAGGTGAATGGCTTCTGTTTCTGTCCCAAACGTCTGTTCTGGTGGGCGGGTATGAAATCCCGCGAAAAGGGCGGATGGCTTTACGGCAGCAACAAATGCACGTGTACTGTTATCACGACAGCGATGTATTTACGACACTTGATTCCACTCATTTAACCGAAAAAATACAGAAAACTACATACAGTTGCTTTAACTTCCGTAATATGATATATTTCCAAGTGCAATAATATGTATGAAATACGAAATATGTGCAAAATGCAGAACAGGACATTTCTTAAAAAAGTAAATAGTTTTAGTTATCTTTTAAAATACTAGATAGCAGCTTATATATATCTATATAAATATTATATCTAAATCTATATCTATCTATCTCTTTAAAAAAGTAAATAGTTTTAGTTATCTTTTAAAATACTAGATAGCAGCTTATATATATCTATATATATATTATATCTATATCTATATCTATCTATCTCTCTCTCTCTCTCTCTCTCTCTCTCTGTATATATATATATATATATACACTGAACAAAATTATAAACGCAACACTTTTGTTTTTGCCCCCATTTTTCATGAGCTGAACTCAAAGATCTAAGACATTTTCTATGTACACAAAAGGCCTATTTCTCTCAAATATTGTTCTCACATCTGTCTAAATCTGTGTTAGTGAGCACTTCTCCTTTGCCGAGATAATCCATCCACCTCACAGGTGTGGCATATCAAGATGCTGATTAGACAGCATGATTATTGCACAGGTGTGCCTTAGGCTGGACACAATAAAAGGCCACTCTAAAATGTGCGGTTTTACTGTATTGGGGGGTCCGAAAACCAGTCAGTATCTGGTGTGACCACCATTTGCCTCACGCAGTGCAACACATCTCCTTCGCATAGAGTTGATCAGGTTGTTGATTGTGGCCTGTGGAATGTTGGTCCACTCCTCTTCAATGGCTGTGCGAAGTTGCTGGATATTGGCAGGAACTGGAACACGCTGTCGTATACGCCGATCCAGAGCATCCCAAACATGCTCAATGGGTGACATGTCCGGTGAGTATGCTGGCCATTGCAAGAACTGGGATGTTTTCAGCTTCCAGGAATTGTGTACAGATCCTTGCAACATGGGGCCGTGCATTATCATGCTGCAAGTGGGGAACTGGCCTAATGGTTAGAGAGTCGGACTCATAACCCAAAGGTTGTGGGTTCGAGTCTGGTACCGGCAGGGATTGTAGGTGGGGGGAGTGAATGTACA